TACATAATGAAATTATATAATGATTTACATACATATAAAGTATCAAAAAGAGCGAAAAAAAATTTTATTTGATTTGAATAAATTCCGACTTAATAATATCTTAGCACATTATGCGTGTAAATTATTATATACATATATCACAATAGATATTATTAATAACAAATTACAAATATAACATAGTGTATGTATATGTTTGAGATAGCTTAAATTATAATTCAAACTACGCCCTTGTTTGAAAGCGAGCTTTTGAAAATCACTTCTTTTTTTCTTTTCTTTTTTCTCGCAATCATTTTTAATCACACCTCTCAAAAAGAAAATTATTTTTCTCGTTTTTCATACCTTTTTTTGAACTTTTAATGATACATTCTTGAGATTTGAAAATCAATACGAGTTAAAAAATTTACCTGCCTCGCTTAAAAAAAAAAAAAAATTGTCCACATATATAATTTTTATTTTTTTATTTTTGCTTGCATAGTTTGCATCAATAATACACATAATGTATATAGTAAATGGAGAATTTCAAGGGGCTGACATTGGGTGGCCTGGGGTCATGGGTCCCCAGACTTTTTGACAAATTCATTTTTTTCTTTGTTTTTGTCTCAATTTTGGAAGTTATTACATGATGTCAAATAAATTCGAAATATTACATTTTAATGTTATTTCGGAGTGCTCATGGTCTAGTTTTGTATGTCGTCAATGGAGAGCAAAATGGTCAATTGTAACAAATGTTATGACTTTCAAAATAGGACGTTTCAAACTAGTATTTCAAAATTTTTGATAACATGCTAAAAATTCTTCGATGATCGTACGCTAGCCAAGTCTACAATTCGCCTACGTCATCTTGAAACTTGTTTCGAGAATTACATCATAGTATATTGAGTGGTTCAACAGACATCGTAAATAGTTAAAGGCGCTTTAAACATAAAACTTAAAAAAATGTCTAACTTGATTTTCTTTAAAAAAATTCAATTATTTCATTAACATTGATTTTTTTGCACGACAAATTTCTCAACATTATTTACATCGTTTTATTAGGAAATTTTACATGGATTCCGTGTAAATTTACAAATTCACATGGAGATGATTTTTTTTTTTTGATGTAAATTTCCTCCTAACTTTTTTGAAAGTTTGATTTTGCTCCCCTAACTCAAAATCTATGCATCTGCCACTAAGAATTTCCTCAAAATTATCCCATATATATGATAATTTACCAATAAACAACTACACCAAAATGAAAACGACTATAATCTAAATTTGGAGTTAACAACAAACAATTCTCCTCCTTACTTTTCTTTTCTTTTAAAAAGTTTTGGTAGAAGAGAAGTAGATAGTACACAAATTATTTAAGAAATAATTATGTTTATGGTTTTATTATTTTATGATTGAAGTTTAAAATTTTAATTTTACAATAAAAATGTATTAGCGGGTTGGGTTTGTTGCTTAAACCGCAACAAACCCAATCCGACTTTTAACAGTTAAAACTAATCGAATCAAATCAATGTTTTTGCTCAAACACCCAAACCAATCCGACTCGATTTGTTTTAATTGCTCTACCTTGAAATATGCCTACAAATATGGATGGAACTAAAAATGCAGGGCTAAAATTTATTTTTTAAAAAATCGTTATAATAAATTTATATATAATATTAATAATCATATTCATCTAATTTTGAAGTTGTTCTCTACGAGGTTTTGAAACATAAAATTCATTTATAATAGAATCTTGATCTATTTTTCTCAATAAGTTCTCGTTTTATGAATAGCATCGTATAATTAGCAAATATGTCATCCTATATTTTGTTAAGAAAATCCATCTTCACATATTTCGTTAATGAAAATGATAACTCAGTAATTGCAGTAGAAATGAGTAAAGTTTATACAAGACTAATCGACATAGTTATCATAATATAATTCTTCGACTTTCTACTCTCAATTAACTGTTTGCATGACTCAATAGGTACGGATAAATTAAATCGATGTTCATTTTTCATATCTTGCTCACAGTGTGTATTTCAAAGTTATAATGTATTGCTCTAAAAAATCTAAAAGATAAAATTTCTTTGTACGTATAAAAATATCACAACTGTTAAATAGTTCTAATGAATCTCTAGTATCCGAAGCTATACTGAGATAGAGTAGTTCTACCGATGTCATTAAATCTAGCATTTAACTCTGTTAGTACGAAATCTATTGGTTTATTGAAAACGTCAAAATGATAATGATGTTCAACTATAATATGATCATGAGAATGACAAGGACAAGGACAAGGACAAGGATGAGCCTCAACCATCTAGATCGCGTATCTCAATATCATATTTTGAATAAAATCTTTCCACTTCTTGAAGAAATTCTTTCCAATCATTATCTATCAATTTTTAGGGATTTCTAGTAGTAAAAATAAATCGCATAGCAACCAATATCATCTGAATTTGTTTTGAAGGAGCTAACCAAGAACATCAGTTATTCTCATAAAGCTAAGCATTAAATGCAAGCTCTTACAAAATAATTTTTTTCCATATGTTCGTAAATGCCAAAAACTTTAGTTTGAAATCTTTAATTTGGGCAATGGACTCTAATATTGTCGAATATCTTGCAAGTTATTGTATACATATGTACGAGTAGCTCCTGATCGTTTCAAAGTACCAACTTTATTGCCCCACTTCCCGATTCATGCTCTCCAATAGCAAACATATGCTTGATTATTTATTTAATTTTTTGAGCAGCTTGTAACTCCATAATTTGTTTAGGAGAAGAAGTAATCTTGAAAATATTGTCCAAATGAAAAGAGAACTCTTAAATAACATCTACATCTTTGGCTACAGAAATCAATGTCAAATATAATCTATGGGTAAAATAGTGGACATAATATGTACACTAACATAAATCTATAGGAAAGGGTAATTATCACAAGATGTCTCTACCTTTCATTTTTGACATTTTCACTCCTACCTTACACCTTTAATTGCTCAAAAAGTCATTTTCATCTATTTTGACGACTTTACCCTTCTATGTAAATAAAACAAAAACAAAAGAAAAGACAAACTATGATCTAATTGCAACCAAAGTTCCAAATTTTCAAAAAATTACAAATTAGTTAAAAATATATTCTTAAAAAAAAAAAATCTTTATTCTTAACCCACCAAATAGGAGAGGACTGAAATTTTGATAAACCTCTATAAATTATATCTATGAATCTATGATTCTATATATAAAAAACAATGCTTTTCAAGAAACAGAAATCAACATAAAAAAAAATAATAATAAAAAACTAGGGGAAAAATAAGTGGGTTTTACTTATTTTCCTTATTTTGAGTGAAATGAAAACTAGATAGCTTCTCTCTGAATGTCCTCTTTAATGTTGGCGCTCTTTATGATGACTTTCTTATTGGAGGCGATTGACCTAGTTGACGACATCCGGTCTTCTGAGAATGTTAGAGGCAATTTATGATGACTTTCTTGTCGGATGCGGTTTTGCTTCTTTTTTTTTTTCAAAAAAAATATTTTTAACTCATTTGTAATTTTTTGAAAATTTGGGACCTTGGTTGCAATTAGTTCACTATTTTTCTTTTGTTTTGTTTTTTTTTTTAAATTTAAATAGAAGGGTAAAATCGTTAAAAATTGATGAAAATGATATTTTGCGTAATGAAATGGGGTAGGTAGGGGTGAAAATGCTAAAAAATAAAAAGTAGAAACGTTTTGTACAATGGTAATTGGTACAAAACGTCCCTACCTTTTAAGTCTATTGTGGAAAAAGACCTTACCTTTTATTTTTTGACATTTTTGCCCTCATTTCAATCTTTCTTTGCGTTAGATGTCCTTCCGTCCACATTCTGTCAGTTTCTCCGTTAATTAAATACAAAAATGACTTTTCTTTCAATAAACAAGGGTAAAATTGTCCTCACCCATTTCACCCCTTCTTCCCGCCATCAACTTAGTTCATAAGTAACAATAGCAACAACATAAATATGAAAATACTTTAAATGATTACGTTAAATAAAGAAAAAATATCGTGAACAACATTATATTTCACAATTCCACAACTACTACTGCTGTCATGTTGGGTTACTGAAAAAATTTAAAAACACATATATTGAATGGGTGGTCAATTTATAAAGATTAATGTTGGATGTTCACTTCCAGTTTATGCTTATTAAGGGTGAAACCCACTGAGTAAATTGAGAAGAACGAGTGGAAATGGGTGTTGTGAAGTACGTATTACATTTCAATGGTGAATGGCCCATTTTGGCTCAATGGAGAAGATGAACTGGTCCTATTCACTTCTTTTAAGAATTGAATTAACCTTATGATAGTAGTTCCTACGTTGTTATAATTGTTTTGAAAATATCCCTACCTTTAAAATGTATTGACGAGAAACATCCCTACCTTTTAAAAATTTTGCAAATAACGTCCCAACCTTTCAAAATTTTGGCGAGAAAAGTCCCTATTTTTTTTTTTCAATTTTCCTCCTGTTTATGCACACAACAATTCAAACTCCAAATACACCAATTCCATAACAGAATCTTAGACACAATTCATCCACCAATTAACCAAAAAATTGAAGGAAAGTGAGCACATGCAATTAAACAATTCAGACAGAACTTTTCATTTCAAATGTGCAAAATATCCACTGTACAACCAATAAAAGTTCTGAATGTGCTTAATTCTGTCCAGTATTCAAAAAATCAAAAACAGCAAAATGAGATGCTACATTATATCTACAAACTGCATTGCACTACCTGTGCACTAAATGAACAAAAACAAAAGCCAAAAAAATTAACAGGAGAACTTGGCTGGCAGCTTCATCCTAATGAGGTGTTGGAGGTGGTGCCCCTTTGCAGCCTCTCCTATTGTGTCCTACTTCACCGTATTTTGTACATGTCATTATCAGCCCCAATCTTTTTCGTTCACTTGTAGTTGTTCTTGAAATTGATTGCGAAGTTTCGGCATTGTCTCGACTTTGTACACCTCTTCGGCTGACTTGAAGAAGCCATCTCATTTGGCTATTTTCTGCTATTTTTCTTTGGCCTTCTAGCCCTCTTTGTGTATACTGGTGGATTGAGAGGGTTCAAACTTGGGGTTGGCCATGCGTTCGGACCTGTGATGGGAGAAATTGACGGCGTATATGTCCTCATATATGCATCATTCTTGTAGATATCATCCATGAACTCCATCACGTTCAGACCTTTAGATACAACGGAGGCAATTACATGGCTACATGCAATTCTTGATAATTGCCAATCACGACATGTACAAGTTCTTGCCTTTAAATCCATAGCATATAACACAGTTCTTGCATCGTGTCGAACTTGAAACTTTTCATTGCCTGCGTATTCAGCCCATTCTATCCTTGCAGGCTTACTATTTTTCTCCAAAATCTTTTGAATTCTAGGTCCTACTACTGTTGTCCATCGATCACAGGACTCCCTACGGGCTACAATTCTCCTCATCAAATATACCCTTATATCCTCTAGCATGGTTAATATCGGCTTTTCTCTTGCAGTCACAATTGTGCTATTAATGATTCACATAAATTGTTGAGAAGCATGTCACACTGATTCCATTCTCTAAAGTGGGATTTACTCCTATAAGAAGCTAGCTTTCCCTCAAGCTATCCATAAGCAACTGGGTCCAAGTCTAACATATGTTGCATGTGTTCAAGCCAATGTGATACAGTGGTGGCTCTGGTTGCATCCCACAAACAATTCTTTAAAGCCAAACCCTTGTGAGAGAGGCTAAAATTGTTATATAGATGTCTAACACACGTCCTATGCTCTAAATTTTCAAAGGACTCAACTGTATTAGTCAACCCCTTTTGCTTATCTGAAATGAATGTCCAATACTGAGTGTTGTGTATATGCAAATCATCCTTCAATAACCCCAAAAACCATCTCCAATTATCCTCATTCTCAACTTCAACAACTGCATATGCCACTAGATACATACCATTATTAGCATCGACACCAACCGCAGTCAACAACTGGCTACCAAGCTTTGTCTTAAAAAAGCAACCATCTACCCCAATCACCCTTCTGCAACCCCGAACAAAACCATATCTCAATGCTCAAAGGCAAATATACAACCGTCTGAATTCTCCAGCATACCCCTCAACCAAAGCAGTGGTCCCAATATTTGTCTTCTTCAACTTCTCACAATAATCCCACAGTAATTTGTAATGCTCCACCACACTCCCTCTAATTTTTGCAAATGCCTTCTCCTTTGATCTATACACTTGCCAAGGTCTCGCCTAAACCATACCGCTTAACCCTCTCCGTGAATGTAGTAACTGACATGTTTTGGTCAGCCCTCCAATCAGCTAAATACCTATCTGCCAAATAGGTTGATGTCACTCAGAAGTTCTTATACACTATAGGGCAAGCATGCTCTTCCACAAAAGTTTTGATCACCCAACTGGTCTTGTTATGCTTCTTGGTAGCATACAACACCCATGGACAGTCTCCTTGACACTAGGCTCTCAATCTGCGAGTATCATCCTTTTTGAACTTAATCTCTCTGTTCTTTCTAACTAAATATTCGGCGATTACAGCCCTTAGAATGGCCTTTGATTCAAATATCAAGCCTGTACAAACAAAATAATCAATGCATATCATACCTCATTAAACTAAAGTACATAATCATGTTTAAAATAGAAGTAAAGAATATGTTCTATTTACCTATTCTAAACACTGGATCCTCCATATCCGTGCCAACATGAAAAGCATAATTGGAACTTTCTTGAAGCTGTATCGCCCTCTTCTTCACTATGAATGCTTTGTAAATCATCGGAGTCCCTATAGTCAGTATCCGAATCCCTAACCTGCTCATCGAATACACCAAATCCGAAATAAAAATTGACCCTTTCACTCCCAACTTTAGCAGTACCTATGGGCTCCTGCTCCATCTCATAATCTGATTTCACCAAACCTTCGACTTCATCTTCCCCTCTTGGTTCTTCATTTTGATCCTCCTCCACATTCAAATCACCCACATTTGTATCTTTCTCGTTCTGGTATTGTAAAGTTTTCTTATACTGTGACCATAACTTCTCAGCATTCTCTTACAAAAATTGATCTGACTAATTTCCTTCATGCTCCCCTCCTTCATTTTCTGCAACCGAAGGTATATAACAACCTTCAAATGTTTGGTCTTCATCAACTTGTGAAGACCATTGCAATGCATATGATTGCATTCTGGCTACGACGTATATTTTCACGTCTGCATGTCCATTCCTATCCCTAAGCATCCTATTAATATCTTCTTCACTCTCCAATCTCGTCAACCCCTTCCCTAAACTAATTTTTTGCTTCTTATAGTAAAATTTCAACATGCTTTCATCACATGTTCCATGTAAAAATTTACGCAAATTCTCTCTCGTGCACCCTTTATCATGAAAGAAGTCGACGAAAAGAACGAATCCTCCTTCATACGCCACATTGTTTGGCTTATCATAAAATTGGCCTCCATAATGTACTTCGATGGTGAAATATTCAGAATTACCACCTGTAGGCAATAGCATAAAGTTCATATCAAATGGAGAACACTGACTGCATGCCAAAGGGAAATATGCGTAGTGACGGAAAAACACTAGTTGCATGTGTTCCAGTAGACATAATTTTGGGGATTACACAAACAAATTGTGTGAATGCACAATAGAATCGGATGAGTTCACACAAAATTTAGGGAAAGAACACTATACCATAACTGGGTCAATCATCGTCGGGATTTCTCAAAAATGGAAGAAACATGTCGTTCTTCAAAGGTCTGCATACCAACAATAAATGGTATCAAAACTCCATACAGACTCTCAATAATGCAAAGCATCAAACTACGAACTGGAAAACGAAAATACCCAAAATGTTACCTTCGCTCTCTAAAAAAATCCTCAATGCATGCTTCCACTGCGCAGACAGATCAAATTCGAGAATATGAACAGCAAACGGAGGAATGGTTGTAGAAATGGAAGAAAAGGTGGGACATTTCAAGAAGAAAATTGCAAAGGAACCATCGCGCCTTTGAGGAGATGAAGGGGTTGGAAGAAGGGGTGAAATGGGTGAGGACAATTTTACCCTTGTTTATTGAAAGAAAAAGACATTTTTGTATTTAATTAATAGTGAAATTGTCGAAATGTGGACGGAAGGACTTCCAGTGCAAAGAAAGGTTGAAATAAGGGCAAAAATATCAAAAAATGAAAAGCAGGGATGTTTTCCACAATAGACTTGAAAGGAAGGGACGTTTTGTGCCAATTACACTTTTGTACAATAATATTGATAGATAGAAACATTTTGTGCCAATTACCCCTATAGAAAATAATGCCTAAAGTACATTCCAAACATAGCAAATATTATTAGTACCATCATATCCTTGACTTCTCATTTTTGTCAAGTGAAGTCCATGTTGAGCAAGAATTGATAGCTCATTTTTGGGATTTGATGATTTGATGTCACTTACCTTGATACTGAAATTATCGTAATTTGCTCTTGGTTAGATGTATCTTGTTTAATCAACAATAATAAAGAAATATTCATCCCCAGTTTTTTTTTTTTTTTATCACAAATCATCACCCTTACTCTATTTGCCATTGTGTGCAAAATATCTTTTTAAATACTCGTAACAATGTATTGGGCATCATTTTTGGAGCATTCTCTCATACAAATTTATCAATTTTTGTATTTGTTTATGTCAAAACCTCTACCTTTTTCAAGAAAATTCATGTGATTCAATGAAGATGGAGATTTATTATTACTACAAATGCAACAACCTTGCAATGCTAGTCATCGAACACTTCGAATTGAAACATTTACACGCAAATGACATTTCCTAACTTCTTCACTCAATATGGCATGCATCATTTCATTGACATATTGAGACAACTTTATTAGTCCATGTTTGATAGGGATTCAAATAAAATTTTTAGTAAATTTTAATAAAAGTTGATAAAATGTATTGTTGAAAAATTATGGATCTCATAAAATATGTGGTTAAAATTAATTGTTGATACTGATTTAAATTAAAATCTGAATTTTAATTCGGACCAAACAAGGGCTAAATCTTTATTTCTCCTCTCACACGTATGTCTCACATTTTCAAGAGGGCAACCATGTGTGAGACTCCTTGACAACTTTTGCAGCCACTGCATCGTCTGCAACTTGGTGGGGGCATAGCTCCCTCTTTATATTTGCTTTATGTTATTTTTGATTCGATTGTCGGATTGTTGTAAATTTGTAATTACCGCCTTTGTTAAATAGCTTTTATTTGAGATTGTGGTATACTCTTTGGGTTTGATTCATTTCATTTTAATAATAATATCAGTTTATTTTTTACTATTTGAAGACATAATGACATTTTTGCCCCTTAACATTTCATTCATTCTTCATGAGACAAGCGCATTTTTAATATTTAATTTTGAATCGGTGAAAAATTGCAGCCAAAATGGGAACCATGTTCAACTGTAACAGGAGAAAAAATGCTACAAATGGGAAAAAAAAAAAAAGAGTCGGATTGTTGTAAATTTGTAATTACCGCCTTTGTTAAATTGCTTTTATTTGAGATTGTGGTATACTCTTTGGGTTGATTCATTTCATTTTAATAATAATATCAGTTTATTTTTTACTATTTGAAGACATAATGACATTTTTGCCCCTTAACATTTCATTCATTCTTCATGAGACAAGCACATTTTTAATATTTAATTTTGAATCGGTGAAAAATTGCAGCCAAAATGGGAACCATGTTCAACTGTAACAGGAGAAAAAATGCTACAAATGGGGAAAAAAAAAAAAGGCTCTCCCGAACAAGGGCTATATTCATGATTATTATTTATAAATTGTATAAATTTTGCTTTTAAAATCTCTTTTTAGTTTTTGACATTTTTTTTTTAACATTAAACTTGATCTGTGCATTAATCTAAGCATCTATTTGAACTAACTACTAAATCATTGAGTTGTTGGTTGAATCGATGGGTCATTGGTAAGATTACTGGATCATTGCTTGATAAATTTTGTGAAATTATAAAAGAAATCTCTTTAAAATTAAAATATTATATGGTTTGTCACCAAATATATATTTTTTTCAAGAGATTTTAGGAATAAAACAATTTAAAGGATTTTTTGACAGTCCTTTTCTCGATTTCCCTATCCAACTCTGTTCGTGTTAACAAGTTCCAGGAAAATCTGCAGTTTGGGAAAGGACAAGATGATTATTTTAAGGCATAATATTGCAAGTAGGTCCCAACAATTCATCTTGATGGTCTCAGTCCATAATCTTTCCTCTCTGTGATATTTTGATCCTCATTGATGATTTTAGCCTTGTCTTTTAATTAAACAAAATAAATAAATATCGAAAAGGTATAAATAAAAGGTAAGGGTCCGTGAACTTTGTATTTTCTTTTATTTTTTGCATCAAAAAAATTTATAGATTGATGGTTCAGAGCAAACATGAGGATACTTTTATTGAAAACAATGTTTCAATGTATTGTGGTTATACACTGAAGTCGATTTGTCTGACTCGCCCTTGGACAAGTCTCATGGATGAAAGATCGGTACCCTTTTTCTCACCCCCAAACAAATCAATTGATTGATGGAAGTTCAACTTGTGTTTGATATGGTATTCTGAAGTCTCTTTGAACAGAAATCATTACCTTCGATAGCATCGACTCATCTCTTCACCGTACTTTGAGGGAATGACATCGTCGCTTACTCTAGCAAAAACTATATATACACATCGAATAAAGGTGATTGGATAGAGAAGAGAAAGTCATCACTTTCCCTCCATTTGAGGTAGGGCTGAACAAAACTCGAATCAAACGATTCTTCTTAAATTAAATATCCAAACGAGTCTATGAATCGAGAACCGACATATTTGGTTCGGTTCTCGGTTCTAGATCAAGAATCGAATAAGAATCGAATTTTCTTAATTTTTTTAATTAATTTATTTTAAATAAACTAAATTATTTTATTTTTTCTAAATAAATTTGCTAGCTAGTTCATTTAGTTCAAACACAAAAATATAAATTTCCTATTTCTAATTTTCAGTTGATAGCCAACTTAATCAAAATTGATTTAAGTTTTATCTAAATCTGTTACTCTACCGTAGTGCCGTTTCTATCATTCTGCAGAAATCGAATTGAAGTTTGAAAATGCCCCTCTTAATTATTTTTGAGCTCGTTCTCTTCATTTTCTTGCGATTTTAAAAATCAAATTTATGAAGAATTTAGCAAAAAGAGACGTAAAAGACACATAAGATTACACTATGTTATTTTGTAAAAGTTAAGATTGAACATATATCACTTAGTAAA